AAAACATTTTTTGTCAATTTTTGTCTCATGTATCTACATTGTTTATAGAACTTTTCTCATTTTAATCAGCCCTGTGAATATATTACATAGACAGTTAGCAATGCAGTATTGTCACATCATCTCCGTGTGAGTGCTCAATGATGAAAGGCACTGGTTGGCATAGGATAAACCTTGGTCTTGGTCTGGCCTCTTCTGATTGCAGATTCTGCCCTTACTTATCCCTTAAAAGCCTCAGTTTGTTTGTCCTTAAAGTGGGTATATTATTAGGTGTAGGACCCCAGTGACACTCAAGAAATAAATGCTATTAATACTTGCTCCCTTTTTGTGCCAGTCTATACAACCAAACAGTCTGGTAAAGTCTTGAGTATTTATCCCTCAAGGAAAGTAGCTAACCATTTGAAAGGGTAACAGAAGGTATATGTAATAGGCAGTTTTTGTTTGCCTGCAACAGAATCTGATTTTGACTTAAAGCAAAAGAGGATCAATTACAAATATATGGTAGAACTATGAAAGTCTGACTATAACAGACAAAACTAGGCACCATCAAAGGGCCTTGGTGTCGCCACTGGAATGAATGAATTCCTGCTGATTTTTTCAGCCTCTACTTAATACTCAGAGTCCAGGCACAAAGACATTAATTCCTTGAGGGCTGGCCATATGCTTACTAATGACCCTTTTGAGTTATTAAGAGGCCAGATCTAGAGCCGTCTATGGAGCACCTTGGTTTAAATATATGTCAAGACATCACTCATCAACAAGACGTCATAGACATCATTTCATACCTATCAGGTTAGATATCATAAAAAAGTGGTGTCAAGGATATGGACAATTTGTACACTGTTGGTGGAAGTGTAAAATAGTGTAGCAACTATGGAAAAAAGTATAGAACAGGTGGTTCCTCAAAAAATTAAAAATAGAGTCACCGTATGATACTCAGTCCCATTTCTGGTATGTATCTAAAATCATTGAAATCAGAAGCTTGACATATGCTGTCTCATCTTTATTGCAGCATTCCTTACAATAGCTAAGATATGGAAACAACCTAATGTCAGTTAACAGTCAACTGGATAAAGAAAATGTAGTATATACATGCAATGGGATCTTACTAGCTTTAAAAAAGAAATCCTCCTGTATGCAGCACGGATGAACCTGGGGGACATTGTGCTAAATGAAGTGACCCATTCACAGAAAGACAGGTACTGCATGGTTCTACTGTATGAAGAGTCTGAAACAGTTTCATAGAGTCAGACAGTGGAATGGTGGTCACTAGGGACTGGTGGGAGGTGGAAAGGGGGACTTGTTTATGCCAGATGCATACATTCTAGAGATCTTTTACAATTTTGTACCTATAGTTAATAATATTGTATTATGCGTGTAGATAATCTGAGGGAGTAGATCTTAAGTAGTGCTCACCCCCCCACCCCCCCAACACTATACATCTTGGTAAGTTATTATCCAGACAGTGCTGATAAATCAGGCTGGGATAAAAATGTGAGGAGTCTGAGAAATTCCCAAGTGTCCATGACCTAATGGTTGAAGGGTATGTTATCCCAATGAATAGAGAGAGAAATTTATTTAACACTATCAAATCTTGTCAACACCTGTGAGCGCTTATAGCACCACCTACTGTTTTAAAATAAAATTTCCTTGTGTTAAATGTGGCTTTTTTTTTTTTTTAAATTATTATAGCATTTAGAACAGATTAGTATCATAAACTAAAGGGCTGTAATTCTATGTAGTGATTCAGGGAAATTTTAAAAAGTGACTGTCCAACGATGACTGTATTGTTTATAGTATTTGTAATCATATCTCTGAACTGTTGATATGTAAATTGCTGCTTTAAGATCTAGAAAGTAGTAATAATGATGATAATTGGTTAATTACTCTTTATGTGCTATGTATTGTTCTAAGTGTTTAGTGCAGACTGTCTCATTTAAACACCACCATCATTCTGGGAAAAAGGTAGAGTATTACATGCTTTTGATAGACTAACACACTGGGGTACAAGGAAGTAACTAGCCGGGATCGCGTACCTGGTGAGTTGTAAGAGCTGGTAGTTGGGGCCAGTAGTGTGACCCTGGAGAGTAACACCTGGGGTTCTGTAGAGGAAGGAACTCTCCTGATGGCCTGTACCTCACAGTGCCTGTCAGCAAGGTACACCAGGTGATTCATTTTCCTCTTTATATCTAATTTTGTTCAAGAATATATTTATTCACACAAGAAATACACATAGCAATATGGCTAGCACGTATGTACTAAGTACTCCACATAAATCCATTCATTCATTCTTCTCAACAACCTTATGAAGTATTGTTTTAAAGTAACTATCCAAGAGCACACAATTAGGAAATGATAGAGGCTGCACTATGCCCAGACTCTCTGGTTGCAAAGTCTGTGTACCACACTACAGTGCTTTTAAAGAGCTGTTTTGAAGTGGTACCAGTGAATTCGAATAGAACAGAAGTCACAGAGGTCTTCAGTGTGCAGATCTGGAAAGAAGCTAAAGTTTAGGAAAGATTGATTTGTTTCCCAGCTTTGGTATCATAAATAATTCTTCACTGACCATCTCCTGGACATTTTGGTGGAATTTTCCTAGGGTAGATATAGGGATATGGATTCTATGGGTTTCTGCTTTCCAGAATAGCTGTACTACATGTTTTAATCTTTTTTTCTTCATGCAGTTTTCCACACTAAATGTTCCTAGAATTTGTAGGCTGCTGGTAATGTGCAAATATTTGTAGACTATAATTTGTAATAATACAAATTAAGAAAAATTTGGACCCAAAAGAGGAGAACCTACATTCTTTCCAAAGAAATGTACTTGACTCACTCCACTACAGAAACTACTAACTACATTATCAAATGATTTGTTCTATCAGCACACACATTTGTGACTGGAATGAATGTGGGGCTATGGCAGCTGCTGCCTCCTAGTGGTTAGGCTGACTCTAGCTCACCCTCAGCTGTGCTAGTTTGAAGGAAGGGAAGGTGTGTGCGTGCTTGAGAGTGGCCAGTGTGGGTGTTAGTTCTGACGTGTCTGGTCCAGACTCTGGCCTAGAACATGGCTTTGCAGTTGGCTCCAGCTCCCTTTTTTCCTAATCCTCTTCTCTGGCAGCTGCTGTAGCACCTCCTGGCTGACATATGGGGATCTTTAGGGACTATGGAGCAGGCTAACGTGTTTGGAAATGGAGAGAAAGAGCCCAGCAGTGACCTCAGTTTTGTCATCTCTATTTTTGTTTCCTCCTTCCTGACTTCTGTTCCCCTCAGAGCTACTTTTGACTCTGTGGGTTGCCCTCTACTGTTTCCCTCCCCTTTTCATACCCTTCAGCCTGTGTGCCAGGTCTCCTCAGTGAGGCGCGAGCCCAGGGTCAGGTCCCAATCAGGGAAAAACCCTGCACACAGTAATCTTCAGTGTCTCACAGAATCTGCTCAGGCCTCTTCTCATGCTGCTTTTCCCTCTGAAATGCTCACTCCCCTTTCTTTGTGCTCTTCCTGCAACCTTTAGAACTTTTTACACTTCTTTTAAAATTCAGAAGACCTACGAACTCAAGCCCTTTCTGGAGCATTTATTGCCCCCTTAATTTTCACTATCGTTGTTTGTACTCTCGTCCTGGTACATCAGCAAGTAGTGTTTCTTGTTGCTGTATAAATATTCCATCCATCTATCTGTTATCTCATTCATTCCTTAAATGTTGTTCCCTTTTCCTGGAACATTAATTCTGTTCATTCTTCCAATGCCACCCACTCAACGAATCCCAGTATAGGCTCTTCTTGCCTCTGTTCATTGTTTCCTTCTCTGAGACCTGGTAGCGTTGAGTCCTGAGCTGTCCACTCTCACCCCTAATTTCACATTCCCATGTGTTTGTGAACTTGGTGTTAAACTTTTCGCCCCCAATAAATTGTAAGCTACACAAGGACAGAGGTTATCCAAAACTGTTTGCTGAACTTGTTACCATTGTCTAATGAGTTGTCCTTCCTCAGAAGGGAAATGTGAAGCACTTGGTGTTTTTTTCCCCCCACGTATACTGTGCTTGGAATTTTACATGTATTAACTAATTTAAACTTAAAAGCCTAGTGAGTAGAAGGTTGATTTTTTTTTTTTTTTTTTTTTTGGTACCAGGGATCAAACTCGGGTCCTTGCGCTTGTGCAGCAGGAGGCGAAACCACTGAGCTAAATCCCTGGCCCTAGAAGGTTGATTTTATAGGTGTTCTAACCTGTAGGACTCAGAAATGTTTAACAAATTGTATAGCGCTAGCTCCCAAGTCAGCATTTGGACCCAAACCTATCTGGTTCACAGCCTGTGCCCTGTGGTCCACCACCTGGCCTCCATTTGGGTTGTGCCTCTTCCCTTCATGGTGTTTTATCTTATACTTTATATCTCTGCTTTCCTTCTCTCAAAAAGAGTCAGCTTCTGGGAATATCGAGTGGAACTTTACCCTGGAATGATTGTTCTGCTCCTCAGTCCTCCCTTCTTTCCACACTGCCTACTTGATACTCAAGCAAAGCAGGGTGCCCACCTTTCTTCTTTTTCACTGTATTAAGGCCCTACTTACTTTTCTTCCTTCCTTTTTCTCTCTCTCTTGCAGTACTTGAGATTTAAACCAAGCTGTCACACTGAGCTACATCCATAGCCCTCTTTACTTTAAAATTTTTTTTAAAATTTTGAAACAAGTTGTCACTAGGTGGCTAGCTTGCCCACGTTGGGCTCAAATTTGGAATTCTCCTGCCTCAGCCTCCTAGAGTGCCTAGTTTAGAACGTGTCATTTTACTGGCTAAGGACATTTTTTTAATGTAGAAAAACTTGGAGCCCTGAAGTCCTGAGGTGCTTTACAGAGTGCTTGTGAACAAATCTTGCATGTGTGCACTGGGTGTCCTACATGCTCCCTTTGTGGATATAAATGATCTTATTGAGCACAGTGACTTTAGGTAGCTAGCTAGAGTCAGAGACATCCAGACTGACTCTGTACAAATCTGGATTTATTCTGTGTTTCCACCACAGGGATTCAGAGCCAGCCCTCGGCATATCAGAAGACGAGTTTTAGCGGCTACAGCTGCCCGCCTGGAAGAGGTGAAGCCCACAGAGGAGGCTTGTCACCAGAGTGAGCAGGAAGCTTCCGCCAGGAAGCGGAAGATCAAGAAGAACAGCCGCGTCCAGCCTGAGTTTTATCACTCTGTTCAAGGATCTTCGGCCAGGAGCCCTGTAAGTAGAGAGGAGGTGTCTTTTGTTAGATGTTACACACATTGTCAAGTGGTATGGTCGTTGTATTGGCTCAGAAAGTTTTTCAGATGAAATTACCTTAATTGCTGGGGATGTGGCTCAGTGGTAAGAGCCCTTGCCTAGCATGTGCGAGGCCCTGAGTTTGATCCCCAGTACTGCAAAAAGAAAGAAAAATGAGACACCTAAGTTACCCTGTTGTTATCCCAGCATGGCTCCTGCGCATGTGAGGCAGCAGGTGGGCTCCTGGAAGGTGCCAGGGGTGTCAGAGTTGGGCACTGTCAGCAAATCTATATAAAAACTGGTGAGTTCCCAGCGCCTGGAGCTGGGATCGAGAAAGAGGCTCAGGGCCATAGCATCAGCAAGCTGGTGTGCAGCAGTGACAAGATCAGTGATGCAGCAACAGAGCTGACAAGGGTCAGGATGGGAGAAGCAGTGAGGGGACATGGGGCTGGGGTTTGTGCTTGTGGCTGAACCCCTCTGGAAGGCTCTTGGAGGCCTGCACTTCCCCTTGCAGCTATCCCAGGGGACTCTGGATGGCTCTCAGGTGTGACTTGCAGGTTGTCTAGGCAGCGACATTGTCTCTCCTAGCCAGGTGCCTGGGTCTCGGTTGGCTGTGGTGTTGCCTTTCCTGAGAAACCTGGTGCTCACTCAGGAGCTGCTCTCCACCCCCTGCTCCCTTCTTAAGCACATTGTCCTGTGTGTGCTGGTTTTTTTTGGAGGGGAGGCTCTGGCACATGGACTTATTAACCAAGGTTGTGATAGTTAAGGACTTAAGATTTATAAAATTCCATTGTAAAACTTAAAAAAGTGTTTCATGACTGCAATAATTTTACATTTGCTTTAGTCTGAAAAAAGGTATCTGTGTGATTCCTTACTGTGTGGGGAGCCTGTTACTGTCATTTCTTGTTTAGAATTTTCTCCCAGTGCTGGGGCTTATACCCAGGGCCTTGCACGTACTAGGAAAGCACAGTACCACTGAGCTACATCTGTAGCATACTGTTGTTTCTTGTGCCAGTTAGGGGAGCCATCAAGAATTAACTTGATAAAGAGTTTTTGTAAATTATTAAAACAGAGCTGCTCTTCTGTAGGGGTAAGTGTTTTTCAGGCACACGTGGAGATTGTTGGAAGGCCAGGAGAATGATAAACTCAGGGACCAGGCAATAGCAATGGCATGGCACTGAATCCCCTCATGGAAAAGGTTGTATTTATCACTCACCACTTGTAACATGAGTGTAGTAATGTGTTGCTTGGTGATGTGTTCTGAGGAATGTGTTGTTAGGTGGTTTCATGTTGTGCAAATGTACTTACACAAGCCACATGGTATAGCAACTACACCCAAGCTCTGTAGTTATATTTATATATATATGTATATATGCATGTTTATATTTCTTGCTCCCTCAAATCAGGCATGAGAGAAAATGGTGAAATCAAGAGACCTAGTAAACATGATGAGTACAAGGCTCCTGCTGGGGCATAGCACAGCAGATTGTTTTTACTTGTTAAAAAAATAAGTGGAAAGAGTATGCTCCAAAATATCAATAAAAAGTGTAGCATAGGCAAAGTAAAAAGAATTAAGATGTATTATGTACATTTACCAGCTCCCCAAGGAGAATGTGATCATTATGTGCTGCAAACATATACCAATAAAAATAAAACAAGAGAACCAAAACAATGTTTTGTCTCATCCAAAAAGTAAGTGAACACATAAATCAATAACTAAGTCATTTATTACCAGTTTTGAGTGTTGGGGGCGCCATGTGTAATTGCTCAGCACTGCTCTTTTGTGTGACCAGCCGTGGGGCAGTTTGGCTATGCCAGCACCGCCGCGGCAGCAGGGAGAGTGCATTGCTCAGGATGGCTCAGGCCTGCGCTGTCATGAGGGGAGGGGAAGATTTCAGCTCCATTACAGTCTCATGGGCACCCTGAGGGCAGCCTGCCAGGGACCCAGACACTGCTGTGTGGCCTGAGACTGTGTGTTTAGAGACGAAGAGTCTTTTGGGGTTTTCATGGTTTAAGCAGAATTTTGTATCTGCACAGAGAAATAAGAAGTGGAAAACTTACTCAACAAATATATGCTTTTTATACAGGAAATAAGGGTTACACCGATATATAACAGTTATTGAGGGTTTAGTATGTGACAGGCATTGTTTTGTGTAACTCACTTCATTCTGTGGGGTAGATGTTGTTATTATTGCCATTTCATAGATCATGAAACTGAGGTCCAGAAAGGTCAATAACTTGCCAGAGTGACCTGTTATTTGGGACAGAATTTAGAATTTGGATCTAGGCAGCCTGCCTCCAAATGGCAAGCAGTCACCTCTGCACTGTTACTTTCCCATGGTACCTGGTTGTAGATGCTCAAAGCTGAGTCAGCTGGTAGATACGCAAACAAGTAGGTAGGGTGCATGTTTTGTGCTATGAGAGTACTGTTGTGGAGTTATACATACAAGAGAAGCACCATGGATGGCTAAAATACTTACAGGTGAGCAGACACTTGAGGTGAGTCCTGAAAGATGCATGCAGTGGTGGAATCCCAGCTACTTGGAAGGCTGAGGCAGGAGGATTGCAAGTGCAAGACCAGCCTCGGCAACTTGGCAAGACCCTGTCTGCCTCCAAATAAAGTAGAAAAGGTTGGGGGTTTAGCTCAGTCTTAGAGCACCTCCCCAGCAATGAGTGAGGCCTTGGGTTCCCTCGCCAGCAGTACCGAGGAAAGTGAAAACAGGTATCTCATATAACACTCACAGAAGCCCAGAGGCTGGAAGGGCCAGGCATCCTCAGTACGAAGTGTGAGGTGCTTTGTGTTAGGTAGGGCAGGGAGGCTGTGTGCTGTGAGTGAACTCGTATATTAAGTTCGGTATTGAGCTTGTCTCCTGTGATGGGGGTCGGGTGAAGATAGAGAGTAGGTTATTTTTCTCTTGCTTGGACTCTTGCCAGTTCTTTGGTTAAACCTCCCCATGTGAGACAGGATAGAGAGGGATGTGATTATCATCAAAGCATAGAAACCCTCAGCCATCATTACTCTCCTGCCTGAGCCCTCTGCCTGACTGCCTGATTAGTAAGACACTTTCTCCTGCTTGGGGACTTTGAACCTGCTGCTGCTTGTCCTTGTCCTCACTCTCTTACCCAGTGAACTCCAGTTTACCTTTTAGGAATGACTTGTGATCCCTGCTGCCCTCCTTTCTAATCCTCAGCACTTTGCCCAGACTCAGACCCTGCAGGTATTGCAGTGAAAAGCAGCACTGCAGGGAGACCCATGTGATTCAAATCCCATTCTGTAGCTGCAGGAACAGTTGGCACACTCAGTGGGTTTAATTGAAGACAGTTTTATGAGCGGACTTCTTTTTATTGTTTTGTTTTGTTTTGAGGCAAGGTCTTACTATGTAGCCCACACTGACCTCCATTCCCAGCAGTTTTGCTGCAGCCTCCTAAGTGCTGGGATTACAGGCACCATCATACCTGGCTTTATGAGGAGGCTCTTCGCAGAGCTGTGGGTATGGCTAAGATGCCTCACCTGCCTACAAGAGGAACCAGCCTGCCTATCACTCTTGGGCTTGAAGGGGCAGCAGAAGGCAGTGGTCTTACTGGACCTTGGGAGGAAGAGTGCAGCCATGGGAGAGCCCTGCCCCCAGCTGTGGCTGAGGAATGCAGCACCTCCTAGAACTCAGTAGGTCTGAAAGAGCAGCACTGCCCTTCTGGATCCCACCAGTGTCCCCCAGAGGCCTGACCTAACTGGAAGCCAGAAGGCAGAGGAGCTTGGATCATACAGACCATAGAGATCAGCCTCCAAGGGGAATAGCAAGGCTATGACAGGCCGAGTCTGAGAGGTGTCAGGGACAGCGGAGAATGGAAACATGGTATATGGTAGTCTTTGCTGAGTTGTTTCAACTCTCCAAGCCTTGATTTCCTTATTATGAAGTGATAGTAGCAATAGTTACTTTGCAGAGTTGTGAGGATGAACACAGGGAAAGAGATGGCATGGTGACCTGCTTAGAACAGACTCTGAGGCAAGCCAGGTACTCCATAGCAGGCCTGTAATCCCAGCACTTGGGGAGCTGAAACAGGAGGATCGAAAGTTCGAGTCCTGCCTAGGCAATTTAGTGAGACCTTGTCTCAAAAAAAAAAAAAAATTTAAAAGCTGGGGATGTAGCTCAGTGCAGAGGCCCTGGGTTCAAGCCCCAATACCACAGTCAGTCATTTAATGACTGAAAATAAAATAAATGAGAGACAATACATGGTATTTTCTTCCCTCCCTCTCTTTCATAGATCATGAGTTAGTTCTCTGAGGGCATACTGATAGTCCAACTCAGAGTATCTTTTGACACCTGGCATCTGGATGTGTTTTATTGAGTAAATGAAGGAATAATATTTATACATAAAGCATTGTTTAGGAAGTGAGCGGTGTAAGTACTAAGACCTGTGGGAATTCAGAGAATGGGTAGGGCTTCCCTTCTATGACAGATAGGTGGTTAGGGGATGCCTGCTGTATGGGAAAGTGAGGTTGAGTTGGCCTTTAATATGAGGTAGGAGTTGGCCAGGCAGCAGATGGTAGGTTTAAGAAGTGGAGAAGCAAAGATACAAGAACTATTTGAAGGTGAGAATGTATATGAGGAAAGCACAAAAGAAAGCTGGAAAAATAGATGGGTTCAGAACACATTCTAGACATCCACTGTTGTATGCTTTATTTTCTGTGCCTGTGCGGACACTGGAACAGTGAGTGTCGTGATGTTAGGAAAACGAAATGTGCACAGGGTGAATCAGGGAGCAGGGGTGGGGGTAGCTTGTAACCATGGCAGCAGTGGAGTCTGTGAGAGGTGAGGACCTGTCTTTGGACTCAAGACCTGGTTTCCTCTGATCCAAGGCCTAGACTGCTGGTGGGAAATTCCAGGAGGGCTTCTCCTCTGTCTCCTGGAAGAGCAGCTGGAAGGGAGGAAGTGAATAGTGGGAAGCAGTGGAGACCACTCAGGTGCTGGGGCAAAACAGCT